CAGCTCATCACAGTACTATAGGGCAGTCACATGGTGTTCCTGTAGGCGACGGAGCTCAGACGTGTTCAAGTCTGCAGCCTTCTCAGCTATCCAGCTCCGGGCAGGAGCAGGGGACCTGGCCCCAGGTGGGTAGGGCTCACCTTGGGTGTGTGGCTCCTCTCTCCCAGCCCTGGGGAGCGGCTGCCATTGCTGCTCCAGCCTGCTTCCTGGAAGATGTCGGGGCTCAGTGGAACCTGGCGGGACACAATGAGGTGGACTCGCCTCTCGCTGGCCTGGGGGATGAGACACAGGTGTTAGCCCCGTCAGTGCACTGGCCACAGCACGCAGGGCACAGCAGGAAGAGGGGAGCTCGGTTTTACCTTTTCTTCAAAACCAAAACGCACACACACAAAGCCCCCAGAAAAACATGGCTTCTAGTAATTTTTGAGTCCGTATACATTTTGTAATTTGGCAAGAATGTGAGAAGCATTTCCTCCAGTGTCAGATTATCCAACAGGCGAGGTACGTGGGGGCTTACGGGTGTCTCCTTAGGAGTCCATAGTGAACAACTCCACATAGTTTTGTCCCATCAAAGACTCTGCTTCTCGGTCTGGCTGGCATCTGCCTCTCTCTCAACCTCATAGCACCTTCCTACTGAGTCAAAACCTCTTTTCCAAGGCACAGTCCCTCACAGGGACAGCATCCGCATCGAGCCAGGTCAAGCCTGGCTTACTTGTGTTTACAACCGCTCACTACAGATGAGTCAGTCATCACAGGTAAGCAAGCCCCTGATTGCGTGATCCACCCCAAGTTTCCTTTTTTTCTTAAACAAGGTAATGATCACTGCTTGCTGGGAAAACTGGGAAAAGTCTGTCTCCTGGAACAGTCTTTGAAAAGACATCATCAGCCATTGCTAACTTATTTTTAATGTAGGGCCCAACTGCAAACAAGTCATGTCTGAAGGTCTTTCCAGATTGAATAGTGCATGCACAGTGGAGAGCCCATGCCCAAGACCAAACCAGGGTCAGTGGTCAGTATGAAACCATGTGGTGAATGTTTCTAACATCACGGAATTGTACAAGCAAAAATGATCAGAATGGCAAACATTTTGTTACGTATATTTTACTATGATCGTTAACAGAAAACTTTAAAAAAATAATGTTGGGATCAACGGTGGCAGAATCCATGAATTTGGATACCTGTTCATCTTTAGAAAGAGACTTTGATTTGATGGCGGTGAGTTTGACTTTGGAAATATCACAGAACTATTCAATCAGAAGACCTATCTATATGTGGGAATTTAGAAAGACGGTGTTCTGTTTCATAAATGGGCGTTATGGAAGCCAAGGGAGAAATCCAAGGGACACAGGCAAGAAAGGTCACCTTCTGAGTCAGAAACAAACTCAAATATTTTTAAAAGGCCAAGCCAATCATGTTACTTCTCGGCTCTGCTCGGCCCTGCTTTCGCTCCCACTGCATTTAGAGCAGTGGTTCTCAACCTTCCTCATGCCGCGAACTTTAATACAGTTCCTAATGTTGTGGTGACCCCCGAGCATAAAATTATTTTCATTGATACTTCATCACTGTAATTTTCCTACTGTTGTGAATTGGGGGGTCGTTCGATCCCCAAAGGGGTCGTGACCCACAGGTTGAGAACCACTGATTTAGTATGAGTGCAAACTCCTTACCTCCAGATGCCTGGTGTCCATCTCTTCCGGTTAACCTTCTCCCGTTTTCCCGTTGGCTAACACAGGCCTCTGGTCACACTACTCACCTTGGTCCTGCCTCAGGACCTTTATACTTGCCTTTCCTCCATTTGGAAGGTCCTTTCAGGGAACTGAATGGAGACTAGCTTCCTCTTACCACCCTGTCTAAAGTAGTATCTCCTCTTTAACGCATCACCACACCATCTCTTTTACTTTCGTCATAGCACTTATCGTGACAGGACTTGGTTTGTCTTGCTTGTTTACTTGTTATGGCATCTCTCATTAGAAAGTGAGTGCATTCATTCATTTATCCTCAGCACCCGGAATATGGCACAGGCACATAACACCACACAACTCACTGTCATTGAGCCGATTATGACTCATGCCAACTCCATAGGACAGAGTAGAACCACACCACAGGATTTCCAAGGCTATAAATCTTTACCAGAGCAGATAGCCTCATCTTTCTGGCCTGGATCACCTAATGGATTTGAACCATTGATCTTATGGTAAGCAGCCCAAGGCTTAACCCGCAACACCACCATTTAAATTCCCTCTGGAAGACTAA